TATTTCTTATCGCTCGGTATGAAACTTTCAGAACTTTGTAAGGTAGCGAAGCGAGGCGGCGCAAACGCAGAAGCCGAGGCAGAAGCCGAAGCTAGGCTCTAGTGTTGAGTCCAATGATGGCCTCAATATCTAAATATAAGTATATCCAACATTTTCTCACAACAATATTCACAGATTTCAGCATATTACGCCACATAGCCTTGGTTTTCTCAAAATAGAAAATAGTTTTTCACTCAAGTCTGCTATATTACATAATTTGATTCACCTTTGTTCCAGAATATCTATTTAAATTTTTACTTTGCTGTTAGCAATATCAGAACCCTGTACACGATACCTAAACATACTACAACAAAATACACGATACCTAAACATACTACAACAAAATACAAAGGTTGCAATTAATTAAGCAGGAATACATATTTAAAAAAATCACTTTACAGAAGACCGCATCTCAATCGCAGAGTATGGTGAATGGTGATTATCACGAGGAAAAATTAATCTCCTCCAAAAAATAATTGTATCAGGAGCACAGAACAGGAAATTCCTTTAACAGAAACTAGCATGTCAGGAGTTTCGACTTCTTCTCCAAAGGAGCAGAGAATAAAAGTTATTTTACAGAAGCCGACATCTCAGTGACCTAGTACGTTGATTTATCCCTAAGAATCATTTATCAGGAACCTGAATGTTTAACATAACGTGACTTCTTCAAAAAGTAATTGTATGAGGAGCACAGAACAAAAAATTCCTCGGAAAATTCATTACACAGAAATTGGCATATCAAGTCTCTTGGTATGATCATCAACCCTATAACTTTTCATTGAGAAGTCTGATCGTAAAAGTACGAATTGTTTTGGATTCTACGCACCAAAATTAATAAGAAAAAGTGTTTTCCTGAGAAATTTTGGGGAAGTCGATTTTTGGTAAAAAAGGAAGGTTGTACACTGCCTTTTTTTAAGGCACGAAAAAAAAATTGTCTCAGATCGACCCGGAAAAAAAATTTCTCATAGAATGCGGCCTGTAGAATCCATAATTTCAAACAGTTCCAAGATTGGGCTACTAGTTCAAAAGTTACAGCCCGTTGAATTTTCTTTCGAAATTGGTTTCTAGTCTATAATTTTTGATTGAGAAGTCTGATCGAAAAAGTACGAATTGTATTGGTTTCTACGCACCAAAATTAATAAGAAAAAGTGTTTTCCTGAGAAATTTTGGTGAAGTCGATTTTTGGTAAAAAAGGAAGGTTGTACACTGCCTTTTTTTAAGGCACGAAAAAAAAATTGTCTCAGATCGACCCGGAAAACAAATTTTCTTATATAATGTGGCCTGTAGAATCCATAATTTCAAACAGTTCCAAGATTGGGCTACTAGTTCAAAAGTTACAGCCCTTTGAATGTTTTTTCGAAATTGGTTTAGCTACTCTATAACTTTTGATTGAGAAGTCTTATCGAAAAAGTACGAATTGTTTTGGATTCTACGCACCAAAATTAATAAGGAAAAGTGTTTTCCCGAGAAATTTTGGTGCAGTCGATTTTTGGTAAAAAAGGAAGGTTGTACACTGCCTTTTTTAAGGCACGAAAAAAAAATTGTCTCAGATCGATCCGGAAAAAAAATTTTCTCATAGAATGTGGCCTGTAGAATCCATAATTTCAAACAATTCCACGATTGGGCTACTAGTTCAAAAGTTACACCCCTTTGAATTTTCTTTCGAAATTGGTTTCTAGTCTATAACTTTTGATTGAGAAGTCTCATCGAAAAAGTAGGAATTGTTTAGGATTCTACGCACCAAAATTTATAAGAAAAAGTGTTTTCCCGAGAAATTTTGGTGCAGTCGATTTTTGGTAAAAAAGGAAGGTTATACACTGCCTTTTTTTGAGGCCCGAAGAAAAAATTGTCTCAGATCGACCCGGAAAAAAAATTTTCTTATAGAATGTGGCCTGTAGAATCCATAATTTCAAACAGTTCCAAGATTGGGCTACTAGTTTAAAAGTTACAGCCCTTTGAATTTTCTTTCGAAATTGGTTTCTAGTCTATAACTTTTGATTGAGAAGTCTGATCGAAAAAGTACGAATTGTTTTGGATTCTACGCACCAAAATTAATAAGGAAAAGTGTTTTCCCGAGAAATTTTGGTGCAGTCGATTTTTGGTAAAAAAGGAAGGTTGTACACTGCCTTTTTTAAGGCACGAAAAAAAAATTGTCTCAGATCGATCCGGAAAAAAAATTTTCTCATAGAATGTGGCCTGTAGAATCCATAATTTCAAACAATTCCACGATTGGGCTACTAGTTCAAAAGTTACACCCCTTTGAATTTTCTTTCGAAATTGGTTTCTAGTCTATAACTTTTGATTGAGAAGTCTCATCGAAAAAGTAGGAATTGTTTAGGATTCTACGCACCAAAATTTATAAGAAAAAGTGTTTTCCCGAGAAATTTTGGTGCAGTCGATTTTTGGTAAAAAAGGAAGGTTATACACTGCCTTTTTTTGAGGCCCGAAGAAAAAATTGTCTCAGATCGACCCGGAAAAAAAATTTTCTTATAGAATGTGGCCTGTAGAATCCATAATTTCAAACAGTTCCAAGATTGGGCTACTAGTTTAAAAGTTACAGCCCTTTGAATTTTCTTTCGAAATTGGTTTCTAGTCTATAACTTTTGATTGAGAAGTCTGATCGAAAAAGTACGAATTGTTTTGGATTCTAAATCCTAGTACCGAGTCTAGTACGGGTATCTTTATAAAGGCGGAATTCGAAGATGTTGGCGGATTTACAGAGAAATATAATGGATGTCCGAGGATATTCATCGAGACCCCAAGGATATCCTCGAGGATATCCTTGAAAACCTGAGCAAAGGATGGCCATCAAGGATTTCCGAAGATATCTGGGGCATATCCATGGATCTACTTCCATTGAATGGATGTTTGGTGTACGAATTTCTATCTGGGATTTCCCCCTCGGTTTTAAAGATCCTTTTTTAAACTTATCTAGAATCGTATACCTATTGTGAGTGTATTTGGAAGAAATCATAAAAATTCAGTCAAATTAGTAGACACGCTGCAGATGCCAAGCACAACAATTTAAGTAGATCTAAGATGGGGAATAAGGAATACGGAATGAGGATGCCGTGACGATTTTTATCAACCTAAACTCGTTAGATTGTGATTTGTTAAGAAAATAGACTGAACTGTACATCAATTATTGCTTTAAATAGAAGTAGTAATGGCACTTGGGATTGTTGGACATGGGAGTCCAGCCAATCCTTTTACCATTTTATTTTGCCCCTATAAACAATTTTCAAATGTGGGTGTAAATAGAACCTCAATTAAAAGTTCGAAATGTTTAAATTTTTAATTACTGTTAGAACGAAATTTTTCCATTAAGCAAGCCTTTTATATCAAACGGTATATTATAAAGCTAGTATACTTCGAAACGCGCGCTGTAAAAACAATTTTGTAGATATCCTCGGTAAAGGAACATATAAAATCGAGTATAAAATAGAAGGATTTTAATTTCAATATTTTAAATTTAGTATCTGATATATGTGGCAGGTTAAAAGACATAAACGAACCCTCGATTTCATTATCGAAATGCAGGTGTTGGCGAGATAAACAGAACTGCATTAACACTATACTCGGTCTTCTTGTAAAGGGATCTCAGTCGATTTTAAGCAAAGAAACTATTCGCAACGGTACGTCTAAATTATATATGTACGTCAAAAGGGACTGGTAAATTCTAGTGCCGTGTAATTCAAGCGTCTTTAGTGTATAGCGAGTGCGAGGTGTATAGTAAAATTGAGTAAACATGTGAGACGAACATTTGATCCTTGAAAGGATAAAATAATAGCGATTCATTATTGAGTACCGAATCAGAAACCACTTCCGATCAGTCCCTTTGTCAACACGTGATAGTGGTTTTTTGTTGACGCGTCTTATGAAATTTGTTATAACGAAATTACCTAATAGTAAAGTAATCATTGGTTGCAATATAAAATTCTACACACAATTTTAACCGGTACTGCAGCTAACGGTGACACGCTTCAGAACTTTTATTTAGTGACAGTGCTTCAAGTTGAAAGTGACTTTAAGTGCCATAAATTAAATAGGTTACAGCGGGTTTTTAAATTTACAATTTTGTTATGAAGATGATCATAAACTCAGTTGGAAATTTAATTGCTGTCATACCGGTGCCGGTTTTGATTGACTACCTTTCGACTCGGATCGGCTTCCGGTTTAAACCATTGGCAATGCCGGCATAACAAAATAAACAAATGCAACTCTCATTTGTGCCTTTACTACGACATATTTAACAGAGCAGTTATGCATACCGAGCGTGTTTTGTTTGCCGCTCGTCTGGCTTTTTCTACGTTCAAGGCAAAAATAAATCCTGACGGCTTATTTTTCCCCAAAGCACAACATTAACAGCGATAATAATTGTTCCATTTGCGAGAAGTGCCGACTGTAAAAAAATATATATAAGTTCATTAGGAAACAACACAAAGATTAACACCTTGCACATCAGCAACCTACATTAAAAAACGCTTTTAAGCGTAAAAAAATGTGCTGTACTTTATTGAGGATTTTACGACAAGAACAGTAAAAATCCTTCATAAACATTAACATTATAAAAACGAAGCCCGTTAGAAAAACACGAAAAAAAGGGAAAGCTGCAAGCTACTACTCAAATGAAAAATATCGATTCGAATTTAAATAAATTAAAATGGCTCCAAAAAAGAAGAGTAAAAGGAAACGAATGACCCTGACTCTTTAGATTAAAGAGGTCAATTTCATCGAATACGTCCCAGTAAAATACATTTTGGGGTGGGGAAGGAGGGGAGACGAATTTAAAAAAAATGTTGGAGCAAATAATTGAGGGAAATTGATCTGGTCGGAAGGAATAAAGTGAAAGATTGGATCACAATGAGTGTAGTAAAAAGAGCGCATAGACACATGACCGACTTGATAAGAAATATTCGGAGCAGCGACCTACAAAAATGATGTTGTGTAAAAAAACTTACTTTCGAATGATGTCGACGAGATTAATCCATTTACTCGCTATTTTTAGTGAAGGTTCACTTGAAACAGTGTCACATATACACACAGTTATTCACCCTTTGAGTTATATATATAAATTTTTGTGCATGTAAATAAAATTCTAACGTACGGCCGTAATACACAAACGTCCACACTACAATCACTGACACGACCAACTGATTTCCTGCGCATGAACGTTTCATCCTTCGTGGAAATGTAATGGTGGCCGGTCATGCGCCTTTTAAATAGCAGCCCGCCAATACAAAATGTCAACAAATGCCATTATTTTAATCTAATAGGTGCATGTGCTTGCGCTTCATACTTGCTTATCCAACTATGTTGATCAACAAAACATTATTAAGCACGTGCTTTAAATGCCTTTATACAGTCGCGTTACTATTTTATTATCGACATTCTTCTTTCCTGTTATATAAGGAATAGAACTACGTTTATAAATAGAACCGTTTCATTCGCCTCGGTCGCGATTGTCATGCTATCAACATGCTTAAATATAGTTTATTTATCCTAATTATCAGTTAGGGGTAGATAGACAAAAATTTATGCTACACATCACTGATAAGGGGAGATTTACTCCAACTGTCTACAGCAGTCGTACAATTTCGTAGTTTTTCCTTCTGTCTTAGCAGCTCGTTCACTTTTGGCAAGGGACCATCATCAACTTGAATGTTTAGATTCAAATTTTGCCACCACATAAACTATTCTTTAAAGTGATGCCCATCGTTGTGCGTTCTACTTTAATAAGTGTCCCCTACCTGTTAAAAATTGAATTTTTCCTATCTATAGGTACACGGTAGCACAGAAAGTGGCATTTACCTAACAGAATGCTAGTATTGCAGGTCAAAACTGTTGCAACAGGGTTAAAAGCAGTTGTAGCATGTAGATAATCGTTTAAATGTACAATAAACAGCATTTGAGACAAGCGTTCTTTATAGTTTAGGAACACTATACGGAAAAATGGACGTTGACTACGTATCGGTATTTCGTATTAGATTTAGAGTAGATAATTCTGAAGAAATGAGTCTAAAAATGCATTCATTTCACAGAACTGTAACACCCTCTATTCAAGATCTCGCTTGTACAGCTAAATAATTTGAGTCATAAGTTGTGAATGGGGTTCAGACCAGCCAACGTTAGTTTTTGATCCCTACGACCACCCTGGTAATAGCGATCGCGATCACAACACCCAACAACGACCAATACGGTCACCATGGGGGATGATTTCGCGCCAAATTGTGCATTTAGGGGATACCAATATGCCAATTTGGATGCTTAATGTATATTTAACTCAAGTGATTTTTGCATTGAAAGCAACACCCCATGAACACAAAATAATCGCTTTTTTATTATACCTGAATCACAATCTCCGTTTTAAGCACTCAAATGCGCGCGAAAAAAGGCCTTTAAAACACACGTGCTTTAAAGTTGCTAAGTAATGATACTCAAGTATGACTTTTGAAACTGTCGCATGTGGGTGAAATAAAAAATCCTCTTAGGTCGCTTTCTGTAAATACGGAACATTTCATTGGCTTGTACCTACCCTTTGGTTGAAGCTTTCACAAACGCGCGTAATTTTGGGTATGCTTCCAAATCTGTTCCACTTTTTAATCGCAGCATTGTTTGAAGTTTTGAATGAATGCACCAAAAGATAGAAGATTTAAATACCTTTGACATTTCCTTCATATGCCAGCATTATCGATGCATTTAAAACTTTATTCGTAAGTAACTTCCTATTCATCTATGGAAACAACTTTTCAAATTCTTTATAACGGGCTTTATTGGATTTGGATTTTACACCTACCAAGTTTTCTTTCGATTTTACAAGAAGCGATTTAATGGACGGTGTATTATCTTTTGCAACGGAAATCGTTTCATTCGCAAAGACGATGATTTTTATAAGGAAACGTCAAGTGACATTTCCATGGCAATCGTGTAATTACGAACACCCGGCCCACTTAATTAGACATGTATTCGAGTATAACGTCAATATGATTTCATTGTATTTCCTATTTTTAAATTAAACTGCAGGTATAATAAAAATACTATAAGATACACGTGTATAATTGGTCTTTAAAGCACTTGCAACGTTAAAGGCACTCTGCTTCGCGTCGTACCATTAAACTCGTTGCGCGTGCTTTAAAGACTTGATTATACACTTGTACCTTAATATACTATTATAATCTATTTGTGTTCATTTTGTGGGTTATCTGCAATGAAGACCTTAGCACATGACTTTTGCCCAAATAATAATAAAAGTATGATGTAAACGAAGAAATGTTGCCTTATTACATACAGAAGATACAAATTTACCTTGCCTGGAGATCCAATGTTCCTTAAAAGGAAAGGAAAAGGTGATACCAACAACGTTGCAAACTACCGGCCCATATCCATTTTGCCAACATTTTCCAAGGTATTTGAAAAACTAATTAACAAAAGAATTTCTAAATATTTTGAGGATAACAATCTTTTTTCTAATAATCAATTTGGCTTCCGTGGAGAAAAATCTACCTCTGACGCTATAGCCAAATTTGTAAAGCTCACTCTTGACTACTTTGAAAAAGGGGAGTACGCCCGCGCTATTTTTATAGACTTGTCAAAAGCATTTGATAGCGTTCAGCATGAGATCTTAATACACAAGTTAGAAAAAGTATACAATTTTAATTTGACCAGCAAATTATTAATTCAATCATACTTAACAAATAGATTCCAGTGTGTAAGAATTAACAATACTTTATCTGAAAAACTTTGTTTTACTAAAGGTGTGCCACAAGAGAGTATTCTCGGGCCACTCTTGTTTTTAATTTACATTAATGATATGCCGGGATATATTTCAAGCAGCGACAATTGCCTACTTTATGCTGACGACGCCACATTGCTTGTGGGGTCTAAACATATTGATCAGGTAATTCATCAGTCCGATTTATTGGTTCAACGGGCAAGTACTTGGTGCGAAACAAACATGTTAACTATCAATAGCACTAAAACAGCATCAATGATATTATCATTACGTTCTCATAACTTACCAACATTAAACCATGTCACCTTTTTAGAAATTTCAATTGATTGTCGACTAAATTTTGATACTCACGCGGAAGTTATTCGAGCAAAAATATGCAGGAACCTTTTCGTTTTACGCAGATTAGCGGAAAACGTTACTGCTCAAATTTTAAGGATTGCATACTTTGCTCTTATACACGGTCACTTATCATATTCCATTAATGTATGGGGTTACTATGCATGTTGGAAACCACTATTCAAACTTCAACGTAAAAGTGTAAGAATCATTGCTCATCTTCCATTTCAAGCAGATTGTCGTCAGGCATTCATTAGTTATAAAATTCTCGCATTGCCCTGTATTTTTATACATACATGCCTCTGTTTTGCTAAACGTAACGAGCAGAAATTTGTAAAAAAATTGGATATTCATCAAAATGATACTCGCAACAAACATTGTATATCTGTACCTTATTGCAGATTAACTAAAACGCAAAATAGTTTTGATTTCATGACAAAAAAAATTTATAATTGTATTCCACCGAACATTAAATGTTTACCTTACAATTCATTTAAAAACAGGACAAAATTATTTTTGTCAAAAAATGCATTTTATTCATACAGTGAATTTCTCTGCACCAACTTGCAAAATATGTAAACTTTTTAGTTTAGTAGGTATACTTTAGTTATTATAATAGAGCTCTGACGGATAAATGAAGTGAAATTTCGTTAGCGAAGATAATGTCCAATTCAGATCTACGACGATCGTATACGTTCTCTTTATCTCTAGCTGTTTAATCTCTCCACCCAATCCTAGCAGAAGATGAAGAGGACGTAGACAATCGTCATGGACAGGAATTGTCCCTACATCCCAATTGGACTATTGGACATTATCTTCGCTCACGAAATTTCACTTCATTTTGGTTACAGGTAAAGTCTAACTGTCGAAGCATAAAAATCACACCTATCAATGATTCTATGTAGAAGGAAATTTAATTCCCTACAACCTACAACCATCCCCACTTGTACGTTAAAACCTAATAAACACATGAGCAACGGCCGATTTATGGTTAACTGATGGCATTGGTGGTAAGGTTGTGGCAATAATCTACTGCATCGGGCCACTTATGGTTAATTGATGGTTTTATTTTCTCCTGTTATCATGTAACGTTTAACATATGCAGCCCCATTGCAGGAACACTATAGACATTGTCATTTTCGAGATATACGAAGCATCCATTCGCAAAGCTTAAATAGAGTGCCATGACGTGGGTGACATTTGCTCTTTGAGCCCGCCAGTGATTTCTGATTGTTTCATCCTAAGATTTTCTTGTTTGTTTATATTATTTAGTACGGTTGTTAATATTTTATTTACAAATACAAGTTGTAGATTACCTATGCGACAGAAAGTAGCAAATTGATCAGTGGTATACTTTGTTTCAAGGGTGCTGAACCTTTCGTCACACTATCTGACGTCATAGCAAAATTAAGGCAGGTCGTAAATTAGTAGTGGGTTTAAATATTGTCACATTGACGTTTCAACTTATTTATTAAGGTGTCACTATCGTTCATCATTATTAGACCGCCCAAGTTGACAATCACTTGTAGGTTTTATACCTAATGGTTAAATGGTCATGTATTTTATGAAGAGGAAGTCCGTTGGTATGAATTAAACCTTTTCCACCGTTTGTAATCACCTCATGTAACCGATTCTTTGCACCGACAATCCAAATGGATACTGCCAGAGCATCCGAAACTCTTTGAGATGAAGGGTATGATGGTTACAGAA